CAAAAATCAAAAGACCATTTTTATCCAGAAAACATACAGTGTGTATCTACTGTTGTTCATTCTTTTTCATTTTTACAGTTAAACAGAAATAGATAACAACCTTGCTGATAGGTAAGAAAAGTGTTGTTTTCTGCAAAGTTTTTACTCATTTGGCCATTCGTAATAAACAAAATTTTGAAGAAATATTCTTAATTTTATTTTTTAATTTCACTTTATAACAGCAAAAGCACAAACACGTTTGGATAATAAATAAAAATGTTCTTTCATTAAGCTCATAAAAGGTCATAATTAAAAACATGATCCGGGCTTTACAGTCAAATCAAGCTTTTAAGCTATTGTGCTTTACTTAATTAACCTTTAGCATGATCTAAGCATTAAAATCTCAGATGAAACTGCCAGGGAAAGTTATTTATCTTCTGATACATTAAGATTAGCACAGAGCTCAGGGACAAGTCACGTCTGGTCGGCTATATTTTAGGCTCGATTGTGTCAAAGCACTGAGTCAGATTTAATATCGCTGTCAAGACTTTCACACACCATTTACCTTTCTAGCACACGTGCAACATTTTATACCAAACATTCATTTAAGCATGTTGCTTTTGTGAAGCAGCTGCTTAAATAACATTTTCTCCAGAATAATGAGCTTTTGAAATATAGAGGTTATTAGGGCTGCATGCTGTGTCAGCAGGCCTTTAGAAAAAAGGTGCAGGAGCTTTTAATAGTCACCGGGTCTGAGTGTGAAGGAAAGACATTTGTTCAATTATTAGGTGTAAATAATTGTTTCTAATGAGAAATGTGGACTTAGCTAATAACGTTACAAATGCTACAAAACCCTAAAGAAACCAGTAAAAGCTCTTTCAGTCTGTGAGGCAGGTGCATTCTTGTACTTTTAAAAATGGCTGAGCTCCACTGCTCTCAGCTGTATCAATACACATGAATAATCAACCACAGGTGCACAGCAGCTCCAGACACACAAATTCAATAAACAAGACACAAAGAACCTGAAAGGAAAACTGCTATAATCACATTGTTCTATTTCTTCTTCTTTTTATATTCACCAAAGATCCAATTTGTGGAAAATCTCTACACAAACATCATCATTAAAATACCAGAGGCCAATTAAAAGACCACAACCAATACTGTTATAGTCTCATTTATATTTCTATATGTTGTTTTTCCTATACACTATCAGAGGCTCCACAACAGAGAATAAAAAAATCTTGGGTAGCTGATGTTTTCATTAACATTAATATATTACTGCARCATGATTAATTAGAGACGTTTTCTGGCCTCTGATAAAAATTCAGTGCTTTCATGCAGAAACTCATAGGTCTAAGCCAGTGACAACTTAAATAAAAAGTGCTCACGATTCTTGAAGTTAAGGTGTGTTAATGAAAGTGTCTCTTAGCTGTAAATAAGATATTTTTCTTWAAGGTTTAATTAAGGTTTGTTGCTTGAAGATAGCTGCTTCTGTTCTACATGGCTAATTTCATTGATTGCTGATTGATTCTTTTCTGGATGTGGGATTCCCTCAGAATAAATTAGAAGCTCATGTTCATGGTAGTGCCTTTTTGTCCAGGTGGACTCATAAAAACAGACTGACTTCATGCACAAAACATCCTGTGAGCCACACAGAACACAGACCACAAACAAGAGGAGAAAAACAACCTCTAATGAATCTCATCTCTGTGAACTGAGCTCTGTTTCTTCCTGTCGCTATAACTCAGCAGCCAGAAGCCTTCCACTTCAAGAGGCCGTCGTTCAGAGCAGCGGTTTGTGTGCCAGGAGGACGCGGTGCAGGCCTGGCTGGACGTGGGAGCCTCGGTGCTAGGTGAYGGCTTAGAGAAAACCTTCCTGAATTCACGGCCTGGATTATAAGAAATGCAGGCCAAAGACAGAGACAGAGAGGTTGAAGTGCGGTGTGCTCCTTCTCATCAGGAAATATAATATAGGAAGCACACATTGGCTTTAATTAGTTCTTACTTGTCTGCATCCCGCTGTCAGAGCACAGACTCGGCCTTTAACCCAAAAATCTCCAAAGTATTGATCTACGCACGCATTAAATTCAGCAGTGTGTGAATTATTTATGCAGGAAGAACAGACCCGAGAGGCTCGGAGAGTGTGACGGTTCACGAGGAGTTCTGCAACATCCGTGCTGTGATCCAGCAGGACAGATGTTTGGCCTTGAACTCAGGAAAGGATCAAACATTCGGTTATGAACTGCCAGAGCAGACAACACGCTTCTGCAGCTTCCAAACGCAGCCTCTCTTTGGTCACAACATTTAAAGGAAACTAAAGTAATTATAAAACAGTAACTGACTCTGCTCTGTTGCCTTTTTCTGACCTAAATAGCTGCATCCCACGGTCTCCTTAACTCTGTGCAAACAGCAATTTAAAATGTAAAATGACTGCATATCTGTATAAACACAATTATCTGTATTTACACATACTTATCACATGTAAACCTGGTCTGTTTTAAGCTTTGTTTGCCTGTTAGGGGTGTTATCTACATAAAGATGCCTGCAAGGAAAAGTACACCATGCAAAGTTTAAACAAATGTACTTCTTGGTCCCATAAAGACAACTGTGTCCGGATCTGTCCTCAGGCTGCAGGGAGTTATCAGCTGTCAGATATGTTCAGTAGCAGAGTTTAATAAAGTCACACTAAAGACACCGCGGCTCTAAGTGGACATGCAAATGAGCTCATTGTCTGATTTATGAAAATTCCACTTGGATAGCGGCACTGTGCTGTATTATGTGGTCTAACACACAGACGCAGGTGCCACAATCAAATTCTCATTCAGTGGAAAGCAGAGAATAAATGGAACACAGATCAGAAAGGGAAAAGGCAAATAGATTATCTGTAATGTTYAAATACATATATTATAGCTGAACATACTGTTCTACCTTCTGTACTCGAAAAWACAACTAGATCATCTAAGATGCTCAGAGGGGAAAAGTAATGTTTTATAACAATTTGCAAACTGAAATAAGTGTATTTCTTCTATTTAGCTTGACTTCTACCTCTGAATAAATCTTTATGATGAAACTGCAAGTTAGAAGTTTTTACAAAACGACATAGAACAATGATACCAACTAATTCTGAGGTTTTAAACGTCAGCCCTGAAAAATAACCTGATATTCTCAGGACATAACAAAATCAAAAAGGTTTAAAAAAACCAAACAACTGATTATATTCTGAAGTTTAAGACATATTTGCTTCACATACAGACAGTTTTCTCCCAAACGTTCTGTCATTACATTTACAAAGCTCTCTGAACATGTGGATATCATGCAGATCTCCTAACTGAGCTTTTGTTAAGTCAAGGCYCTGTCACACTAGACAACTTATGCCAACTTGTGAAACATTTTTATGTCTAAATTGCTAATAAAMGTTATACATTTGCTCAATTTGTTRGAATTGCATTATGTACACGTCAAAAAGAAGCTTCCTGATCATTTTTTTTTTAAATTATTCAACATAGACGTCTTTAAAATGTTCATAMGTTGGCATAAGTTKTCTYGTGTGACAGGGCCTTCAGCGAGGRAATTTAAAAAATGCCACAGGACAGAACAGGAAGGAAWACAAACATAAAACATTGTCAAACCTGATGTTACTATTTATCTGAGAAACTAAGAAGATCYTTCTAAAAACACAARATGCTGGTGCRTTTYAAACCTAACAGKACTTAGACAGACAATGTTTCATTCTAAGGATAAAACACCCAAACTGGGCTGTGTGGCATCTGCAGTTCATGTTCAGGCCTCTTTATTGGAGAAACCAAACATGTCTTTCCAGACACAACAGAGACAGATCTTCAAGAAAAACTCAGCTGTGCCCCTACACTTTTCTAACTTACTGTATGGTAAAAAAACAGCTCAATCCATCCATCCATCCATCCATCCATCCATCCATCCATCCATCCATCCATCCATCCATCCATCC